AGTGGTAGCCCTTAGCTAACCCCTTGTGTAGCCTTGGTACTCAGTTTGCTATCACTAGGACCATGGAGGTATATAATTACTTTACCAGCTATTACGTTTAGTGGCGAATAGATAAGATTCTCCAGTATTCATTTGTAGCAAGGAGATATTTAATACTTTATATAATACCTCTTTGTTTTGTAGGAACTTTTAAGCAATGAAGACAAAAATCAGACATCTCTTATTTTATATGTCTGCATTATTAGGTGCATACTTTCATAGAAATACATATTGTATGGCATTTAAATGATTTTGATATTGTTTATTATTGTAAGATACAGCTATTTCATTATCGCCATTATTATTTATCATTATAATTGTTGCATAATAATAAAAATAATCATAATAATATAATAATATATTCTATTGTTTTTATTATTATTATTATTATTATTATTATTATTATTATTATTCTCATCATTATCATACTCATCCTCATTATCATCATCAGTATTATCGTAATTCAACTCAAATAAAATCGAAGTTTAGTTTTCCTTTTGAGCATAAAACAATTACCAGAATATTCACTTCAAGGTAAACAATATTTAGGGGAGAAAACTACAAGCAAAAAAATTGATCAAAGTGATAAGAAAAACATGGGAGAATGTAACACAAGGAAGGAGGATCAAATATACCGACATTGGTTTTCTGATTGATCCTCCATAAGCATAACGTATAATGAAATAATAATAATGATATTGTTGTTTTACTATAATAATAATAATAATAATAATAATAAAATAACAATAATAAAATAATTAAATAATAATAATAATAATAATAATAATAATAATAATTATTATTATTATTATTATTATTATTATTATTATATAATATTATTATAATCCATACATAGCACACGCTTCTTGACAACACATTGTATCCGTAATTTAAACCAAAACTGATGTACCTTCATGGTCTCACAGCATGAAAAGAAGGCAATAAGCCAGTTCGCTGTGAAATTCTTTGAGTAAAACATTTGTTTTCAATTGAATGGTCTTGAAAAGTGCATTTTATTTGCTATTTCGATCTGTTGTACTCTCGTTATATCATAGGGCCTACTAAATGCTTAGTGCAAATAATCATATCTTGAATGTTATCTATTAATACTGTAATTGTTTATAGAAACAAAACCCAGTTCTGGAGTTAAGTTCCGTTCTAAATAACAAGTTGAAATGTCATGATTGGTGGATTCTCTGCTTTGTATGCAAATTAGTACGGAAGGAAGCGTCTGCCATAACTTATTGAAGGCTGTGTTATTTTTTCATTCTTGTTTGAGACCTTCTCGAAGACACGTCCAGGATGAAGTCGCTGTTTATCATCTTTGTCGCTTTGCTTGTAGTAACTCAAGGTATGTGACTATTTTTCAATGTTACGGAAGTTCGTGCGATTGTTAAGATTTTGTATTTACGTTTAACTGTTTAAAATGTGTATTGACACTAATTTCCATTAATAACAATTATGATTATGATGTGTGATGACGGTAATGCCGTAAACTCTTTTAGCAATCAGCAAACCAACCATGATACATAACAGATCTGGTCGTCCACAAAAGTTCAATACAATAAGATTGATTCAGCAAGTCCTGTCTGTATTTATCATAATTTAATTCAGTTCATATGATTTTAAAGTTTTTTAAATAAATAGTGTATTTACCATTTCAATTATGTACCCTGTGTAGTTTATTTTTTATATTTTTGTGTCATGAAAATAATCTTTACAGGTATCCTCGTGTTTTACAATGTAAAATAAATAATTTTAGTTATATATTATATTAAGCTGAAGAAGACCAGAGGACTGGTCGAAAATTTATTTTAGAATAAACTATTGTTCTATTGTCCACATGACTCGTTGCTGTAATTCCTTGTTTCAACGCCTTTTGTATAAACTAAACATGCTTTTCTCCAGTGGCGTAACTAGGTTCTGAGGGGCCGGTTCGAGAGTACCGCCGTGCCGTCGGGGCCCTTGACGCATATAAATTAGCAATTACTGTACTACTCTTTTACTGATGTAATCCATACTAATACCATCCTGCACCAAACATCATTCCCATGAAATCGAGTGTTGTAAAATTTATTATTTTTCAATTAAGTTAAAAGTAAAAGTACCAATATTGTAACTATAATGAGTAGCCCTCTCAGTGAAAACCACTGCTTCTCCAAGGGCTGTCTCTTATACACATCTTTACAAGACGACACATGTTCCGGGAGGTGTCCCTGCGCTAAATGATTAGATAAAGATGTTGTTTGTTACTAGATAGTCCCGGTGGGATAGTAATCAGATTTAATAATGGAGCTTTAGCTCCAAGGATTTACCTATGATTTAATCAAGTGTAAATATATGCCACACGCGATTCCCATCTTAAAATACTGGTAACCTTTTGTTCATGTCATGTACTGAAGTTTAATTAGTTAAAATCAACTCATATCACATTATTTGAGTTCGAGACCCTCAGACCATCGAGCCCACTCACCTCCTGTCTCTTATACACATCTAGATGTGTATAAGAGACAGTATATATATAAGGCATTTGGTAAAGCTGATGAAGGCCAGAGGAAATACATACTGTTCAATAGTGTGCATGCCTTTTTGTTTCAACGACTAATATATAATTTGAAGAACACACGTGGATTTACAATGATATATATAGAGAGAACAAAAGCCTTCATAAAACGTACTGTACCCATATATACAGTAATTTATAATGATAGTCTAATGGCTATGCCTTGCACAGTTTAAGCCTTTTGCACAATTTGCATATTGTGCACGGCAATTGCGCGATTTGCAAACTTTGCAAGAAGAATTGCAGTTTTAAAATGCGCAGAAAGGTATTGCATGAGAAAAGCAACTTCAATTTAAAAATCATCACGATGGTATCATGCAAAACAGGATCTGTTGTACCATGAGGGTGTATTCTACGTCCATTATCATTTCTTAATGATTATATGAACAGTCAGAAACTTAACCAAGGCACACCACAGGCTTATTCCAGATAACTACTGATAATTCTCCCTCCAAAATAATAGCATTTTCAGAGCATGTGTGCTGATATTTTAAGAAACTGTCTTAAGTTTATGTCATATAATAGGATTTGTACTTTTAATTTTCAAAGATAACGATACCATGGGTACATTTTGTTTGTCTTTAGATAATACCATACTGTAACTCCTTCAAGGTTAGATCATGGAAGTATGGTTTGCATGGAGTTACTGTATCTCTATATGGTCAGATAAGTCTCGAATTAAGTAAGCTAACTTTAAAAAAAAACAAAACATACAGATGATAAAGATCTCAGACATGTTGTTATGTTACAAGAAGTTCTTCAGGTGATATATCATCATATTATTTTCTCTTCTATTATTAGGGAAAAAGTCTGTGAAGAATACAGGTTAGGTATAACGTGGGAAACAATTTCCGTTTTGAGTTATCAATAGGTATATGGCATCATAACATAGCTGTGGCTTCAAGTCACTTGTTGTTTATAATTTTTTAAAGTAAATATTTCAGTACAGTTAAAGCCCACTTAAGATACAGAATACTGCACACAATAATATAGTTATTTGCCAACGTGTACCACTCGGTTCAAACGAAATTTGATTTCCAGATGCTTGCTCAAGCATACAAGTAGGCTAATTATTACAAGGCTGTACTCAAAATAAAAAAAAAACAAAAAAAAAAACCCAAAAACCTAAACTAAAATCTAAATACATAAAAAATGGCAAGGCATATACAGTAATGATATTTTTGACTAAGCACTTCTTTTACTTTCTTCAATACAGTATATTCAAAGCATTGTTTTAGAATAGGCAGAACCACGACTGTGTTATCCAATATATTGATTACATAATAAATTAGTGGATTGACTATTGCTTTTACTTGTTATGCAACATTTTTACTTATCTTGTAAACCTTCAAACGATTGCCACTTTAATGTTTATTTTTGATAATCAAGACCCCCACGGTCTATCGTAAGCCAACCGGCCTTGCAATTACAAGACGACACATGTTCCGGGAGGTGTCCCTGCGCTAAATGATTAGATAAAGATGTTGTTTGTTACTAGATAGTCCCGGTGGGATAGTAATCAGATTTAATAATGGAGCTTTAGCTCCAAGGATTTACCTATGATTTAATCAAGTGTAAATATATGCCACACGCGATTCCCATCTTAAAATACTGGTAACCTTTTGTTCATGTCATGTACTGAAGTTTAATTAGTTAAAATCAACTCATATCACATTATTTGAGTTCGAGCCCCTCAGACCATCGAGCCCACTCACCTCTGCGCTCTCCCATCAGCCACCCCACCCCATTTCAATGATAAGAAACACTGCTCCGCAGTCTGCCTTTACGTCATCGTCTAGCAGTTAACCCTGCAAATCCAATATGGAGGAATGATGGGATGAGTCATGAGCTAAAAGATAAAAATGAAAAGCAAGTCCGTGATATATGAGTACATACCATTGACAAGAACACAGAAAGATGATAAGACCTGTCCTAGAAAGTTCACTAAAATAAACAACACCACACATTTCTTGATAACCGAATCCCCATTTGAATATTTTATTAATTTTTTTCTTTAATAGTTATTTTTATGTTTTTGTAATATAAGCTGAACGCACCACTCTTGTATCTGCCGGCGTTCCAAAGGCGTATGTTCTCAAAGTAAATAAATATATATTAGTAAACATAATACCTGTACAGTAAGGGGAGCCTATTTTTTTAAGTGTGTGCTGACGATATCGCGTAAAGCAGGTGATGATAAACAAGTGATGGTATTGTAATTAAACAGCTGATAGCATCAACATTAACATCTGTTTTATTCATGTTTTGTTATTAATCATAGGTTTTATTTTTAAATCAGTCGTACAGATCCGTGACCGGAAACTCTGTCTTCTCTTCAAATGCTAACTTGAGCGTAAATCCACCATTAATTAAAACTTGGTAAACTAAACATGCTTTTCTCCAGTGGCGTAACTAGGTTCTGAGGGGCCGGTTCGAGAGTACCGCCGTGCCGTCGGGGCCCTTGACGCATATAAATTAGCAATTACTGTACTACTCTTTTACTGATGTAATCCATACTAATACCATCCTGCACCAAACATCATTCCCATGAAATCGAGTGTTGTAAAATTTATTATTTTTCAATTAAGTTAAAAGTAAAAGTACCAATATTGTAACTATAATGAGTAGCCCTCTCAGTGAAAACCACTGCTTCTCCAAGGGGCTCCAAAAATACAATAAAATCTACAGAAGAAACTAAACTACAGTAAATCTTAAGCTATTATCTTTTGAATTTGGAGTAAAGGACAGTCTGTTATGCTTTTTTCTTGTCGAATTAATTCGGCTTGAGACATTTTAATGTAACAACTTGATTTTCTCGCTATGGAGATCATATGTACGATCAATTGAATTGTATTACGTTTTTAAATAAATCATTAAGCCTCATGTAATGTATTTGCTTTTGGTAGGTCTATACCGATTACTTTGTAAGAGGTTTTAATTATATAAAGTAGTCAAATATTGGCAGGCAGACGAAAGATCGACAAAGTGAAAGCTCTACTAATAGAGCACTAAAAACCAGGGGTTAGCTTTTTATAGTGGACGGGGGAGACATGTGAGCGTTGTTTGAATGAGGTTGATTTTACAGTTGTCCTACCCGAAGAATGTTTTTTTTTTTAAATTTGGATAACAAGAAAAAAAAATTAAATAATTATAGGACGATGAGGTGATGATGACGACGACCACAATAATGATGATGGAATGAATGAGTGATTGAGACACTCATAGCTGTGGCTTGAAATTCCATAGCCACCACAGCTCCACCTTGGTTGAGGCGAGGTGCGGTTTTGTTTAATCTAGAGCACCCCAAATGTCTGGCAAAGGCACCCTCAGACTTTAAAATTGTCTTGATTTGAAAATTAGAAAACTTTAGCCACCGCTTTCTAATATGCCGAAATCGAGTGAACTGCAATAATGAAAAATAACTGACACTACCGTTCGTGCAATCTAAATGCAAGCAGACTTTACACATAAAACTGCAATTTCTATTGTAAATTACTGAAGAAAGTATAAAATTTCACAAAAAGAGCTTGAGATAGGGCCTGAAAGCGTAAGTCTCACGCCATATAAGTACACTATGGATAATGCAGGCTAAAGTGAATCGAGTCCAAGCTGGAATTAATGAGATCCAAAGTGCCACTGTCATGGTACAGGGACAGGTGCCCCAGCAATTATCAGCGGTAGTCTTTACATTACAGGATATAGAAAGGACAAGCGATATTTGTTGGTAACTTATATTGGTGGTCAGGCTTTCATGAATGCATAGATGACGATCTGTTTCACTGTGGATTTCCATCCATCACGATGATATCGGCGTTTGAGTGGCAATTTTTACAACTGGGCATAGGGGCCTCGGCATGATTAATTGATTATTTTAAAGTTAAATTAACAATTTTAAATGATAAAATTCAGTATTGAATATAAAGATATATATTATTATTCAATATCTTTCTACGCATTGCTTTATTGCTGCGAAGCAGCCAATTCATATTCTTGACAGCAATTTGACCTCTGAAAGGTCATTGTTGGTCAAAAAACAAGGGCCTAAGACGACTGAAAAGCGGAGTTTCCTTCTTTCGTTCTGCTGGGTAAAATCAATTACTTTAGGCGACATTTCCTTATCCTACTCTAGGCCTAGACTAGCTAGGATGGTATAGGCCTAGCCTTGAAGGGACGAAGGTCCCAATGAAAAACAACGTCGCTCTTTGATAGCTAACATTGTCTATTTAACATCACAATAATTCATTATTAGACCTATAGTTGTTTTTTGAATTGTACTCCACAAATCTTAGCCGATACCTCGCACAACTGGTTAACGTCTCTATCTATTGTCGTGACGTCATGGCGCGCTGGCTCACACTGTGATATGTCTCGCACTTGTGATATGTCTCGCACTTGTGATCAAGTAACACGCTGGCTCGCACTTTGGCAACACTCTTTGGCAGTTAACTCGCTCCTAGAAAACCCGCCCTTGGAAACTTTCCCCATAAAAAAAAATGTACACTTCCTAGACCATGCAGTCTTCAAAATAAAAATTGTAACCTTTGGTAATCAACTACATTTTCCACATACATAGAAATTTTTAAAACTTTATTAAAGAAAACCTAAACCATAATTCACCACACTATAGACACTTTTTGACAAAAATGAAAAATTACGACTTTGTTACTCAATGAGAAGTGTTCTAATATAGACAATGGGTCGTGGCTCATATTATTTGTTATAGTTTTATTATTCATTATTTTCACTTGACTCGCATAAATAATTTTGTTCGAAGAACATTTATATGCAGTTGTACTTCGCAGCACTTCACTTGCAATTTGCAATTTCTAGTTAGATTTTTATTCTATAAGGGGGCCCTAGAGATCGGGGCCCAGTTTCAATGATCCGCCTGAACCTGTGGAAGTTACGTACGGTAACTGCTAGGCAATATTAACTTATAATGCGCAGTATTATTATAAAGATAAATGCTATCAATCTAGATTTTTATTTATGCATTGCTTTCTTAAATTTTTTTTATAAGGGGACGGGGCCCTTATAGATCGGGGGCCCCTGGAGCTCGGGGGCCCAGGTTCGACGAACCTGCTGAACCTGCGGTAGTTACGCCACTGCTTTCTCTCATATTATTCAACTTGTTTAAGATGTACGCACATTATTTTAAAGAACATATTGTCCACAATATTTTTAGACATGATATGGTCAATTTTTAAATGTCGTTCCTTCGTCTTCTCACCCTGGTCTATTCATAGAGAAACTGTTTTATTTTCTGCATGGTCTATTGTAATCTTTTCTTATCTAGCATACTGTACCTAATGATGGTGGCCAAATTAATTGATTAGTATCACTTAAATTTTTGAGATGTTTTCTTTTTTAAATTAATTTGAGTACGTTATTGTTTTTGTAAAACAAAACAAGAGTAATTCCGAATAATGATTCGAGGTTCCTTTTTCCTAAGTTATTCCGTGGATTCCCTATTAATTGGTTAATAGGCGTATTTCTATTTTTTATTCATAGTTTTTGCCCGAAAGCGTATCAATGACCACGTAAATGATATTCTCTGCGACACATGTACGGAGCTGATTACAGAACTCGACGCTCTGCTAAAAGTGGATCAAGACCAGGTAAGATACTGTATTATAGGTTTTTTTACTCACAAATGTCTGATAACGGTACACTGTAATAACAGCGTGGGAGCATTTAAACGCAAAGCTCCACGCAATGTTGTCCGTCTTTGGTGACATGTTTAAGTTAAACGTGTTCAGATATGACGTGTTTAAAATTAAATGTGAAACGCTAAACACACCTAAGCAATGCTGAACACATCTGAAACCTATATACATTAGGCCGTGCCTAAACACGTTTACCTTTTAAACAGCACCGTCGGCTAACTTGTTTTTGATTTAAAATGCTTAAAAGCTTAATGATACTCTAGAAATAATGTAGGTTTTGATTTGTTGTAGCCAAAATAAATAAATAAATAATTTGAATATTAACCAATCACATGACTAAAAGTGACAAAATATCATTTAAATTTGAATGGCGCCAATATCTGAATGCCCCCAAACTATATCTTTAGATAATAGCCCTGTAATAGAGGAGCAAGACTCCATATTAAATTTTGTATTATTTGGCCAATAATTCTACGGAAAACTCGTCACAACGTACGCGCAACAGATCGTTTTGAATGACTATCCGTTCAGACTGTATCGACAATCATCAGATAAGACGGCTCGCGTCATCTAACGCTCACAGGGAGGAGCGGGGTTTGAATCGTCAGCCGACGGTCGTACCACCGTCGTACGACGCAGTGAGTGCATGGCTTATTAGTCGGGTAGGAAGAGGGGGTTCCCATGCACCCCGAGGATACATTTTTTTAACTAACATTTTTGTAATCCTCAAAGTGAATTTTGATGTTCTCATCCAAAAAAAAAGATGGCCACCAAACGACCCCATGGGACATTTTTTTTCCGATGGAAACATCAAAATTCGTTCATAAGAAAATTTAAGGATTACAAAACTGTTAGTTAAAAATATATCCTGGGGGTGCATGGGAACCCCCTATACTAGACTATATCCATGACATATTGTTGACGTGTAAATACTGGTAAATTGGTACGATGGTGCAACTCTTTAGTTATCGTTTTTTCTGAACTGCAGATAATAATTATTTAACTGCTGTAGGCCTTAGATAAAATTGTGTAATGTCGCGGGCCTATCTGTGTGAAAGTGGACACCTGGAAACAATCCATCAATAAACTGATAGAAATCCATTTTGACGTCACTCGAAAGTAAAACTTCATCCTCATGTGATATAATAATATACTGAAAACAATGTGTGGTGTTACATTTAGTGCAACGATATAACAAGTTAAAACAATAACAAAAAGTTGTCAACACAGGCCTAGGCCTACAGATGGTTTCAACATAGACCATCATGACCTATGATGTACTCGACAACTGTTACATCCTCAGTTTGCCTTCCAGCCAATTTAAAGGTGTTTTCGTTTGGTATGATTTATGTATTTATTTATTTTGTTATTGGCCAAGAGTTTTCTCATTCCAATTTTTAACTGAAAGATATAGTAATATCTTACAAATTAAAGATGCAATGTCTGCCATAAGCTTAAAAACAAATTTCAATATCATATATTAATTGCTTAATTTGTTATTTAAGTACAGTAAGTTATTTATTAACTTACAATTTAAAAAATGGGTGAAATTAATTTAACGGACATTTAAATAATAGGGAGGTTTTGCAAGCTTACGAAAACGATAACGAATACGGTTACGTAATCAAATGTTTAGTCAATCCAACCCTTACAATAGCATAAGCCTATCTGTCGCAACGTAGGTTTTCCATGCCTTTTACATACATCAATCAATGGGCATATTCAACTCGTATACGTATTGCCAAGAATGTTCCAAGCAAAATAGCGATAATGATGACGTATTCGTATTCGTTATCGTTTTTCCTAAGGTTGCGAAACCTAATAAATTTGCTGTATTGTGTGCATACATAGACCCTTATATTAAATTGGCTGGGAACCAATTTAAGGAATTTGTAAAAAAATGTCTGTAAATCAGCACAAACTATTTTTTTCGATCTGTTTTATTTGGAAGTACTGTAACTTATTTAATACTTTTAAATGAGCCACTAAACACTTTAATGCATTTTTTAAAGTATTTTTTAGATTTTTTTTTTTTTTTTTTTTTTTTGGCAGACAGTGAATTTTTAAGCAATTTAAATACAGTATTTAATTTATGTTTTAATTTGGTTTTTACCAGTCGGTATAGGCCTAGGCCTATTAAACCTTATTGTGGCCATGGAATATAGCCATGGGAATCCTAATTTCATGGAAACATGATAGTCACGCGACACGCTTACAGTAAAACATTATTTCCTATCGGATCGAATACCGTACCATATGGGGCAGTGTTGGTTTGTGTTTCCTGTAATTCATATTCCTTCTGCAAGAGGTGTTTGTCGCTTTCATGTATGAAAATAAAAAATAGCGATTTCCTTCCTTTGCAGGTTGTGTCAACATTGTCAAGCCTTTGTGACGACCTCCGTTTGCCTGGAAATCTGTCTGCTGAGTGTAAGGAATATGTGAAGGAGTACGTACCTTTGATCTTTGAAATAATTGAATCGGAGGTAAGCAGTTTTTTTCCTGTTGTTTGTCAAACTTTATTTCCTTGATTAATATGTATTAATATTGTAAGGTACTTTCCTATGTTCATGGAAATGAACTACAGTACGGTATAAATCATCTGCACCTACAACTTCACGAAATCACAAAATCACAAAACAGTTGGGAAATAGTGCACAACATCTTATAAAACCGATTGGGATTCGAACCCAAGACCTTGAGATTACCGGTGATCTACAAACTGAGCTATAAGACCAAGTGGTACACGCACACCAGTAGATTTTCCAATTAACACGCATATTTTTTTTCTCAAGAGTGTATTTCATAATACGCAATGATAGTAGGCCCTAATCGCATTGTCGTTATTGATATTTTTAGTGTTATCGTTATTGGTTATTTATTTATATTGTCATTGTTTTTGTTGCTATTTTTGTTGATGTTATCGTTTTTTTTATTAGGCCCTGTAATTTATTTATTTATCTCCGATAACAACAATTTTTAAATGGCACTAAACTCAAATTCACATAGGCCTACAAGATACATAATAAGTTTATATACATTTGCTTTATAATAATATATCTTATCTTTTCTGTTATCTTAGGATCCAAAGGAATTATGTGCTGAGATGAGCCTGTGTTCCGAAGCCGATGTAAAGGCCACTACTCCAGCAATACTTTCGGAAAAAAACCGTAGTTCACTCCGAAATTTCAAAGGCATTGACAAGTTTATTGTGTCCGTCAAAGAACAAGTCCAACAAAGTAAGACCAACTAGCATCACCATAGGTCTATGTTTTGCTAAATTTATTTCTAAATATTTTTAAATTTATTATACAAGGGAAAAACGAGTTTTAAGATGCAAGATGACCACATAAGTGAAAATGATGACGGTAATATTAATGATAACAATAATTATAGTAACATAGTAATAATAATAAAGATAATAATATTTATGATAATAATAATAATAATAATAATAATAATAATAATAATAATAATAATAATTATTATTATTATTATTATTATTATTATTATTATTATTATTATTATTATTATTATTATTATTATTATATTTATTAGTTATAATTGTTATTGTATTTATTAATTTTCGGCCTTATTCCCCCAACAGATGTAGTTCAGGCAATGGTAAAGAAAATGCTTTCCGATGACGTTGTGTGTGAAGGATGCAAACAAACAGTACAGTTCATCCATGATTTGCTTGCCAACAACCAAACTCAGGTGAGTTAACCATTTTCAATATATATATATATATATATATATATATAATATATATATAATTATATATATACATAAACTCGAAAAAAACAGTAAAACTCGAGAAAATGTTATCTCAAATTAGTTACAGAGTACAGTACTCGTTTATTAATTATATGAGAGTATGTTTATGGTAATAATAACTTTATTTGAAATCTACACTTTTACATCAGTGGCACACGGTATGCCGTGCGTTCACAATAACACAATACAATCTACAGACTTAAAAACAGTTCAACCAAAAACACAAAGACAATGATACCAAAAGGCTCCTAAGCTAAACATATAAAAAGCATTATAATAAAGTTTAAAATACAAGCAAGGCTCTTACGGATTAAAAATGTGTAAATAATGTAAAAATATGAAGTAAAACCAGAATTTAAAAACTTTAACGATAACATTGTTGTTTACACAGTAAAATGTATGGTATTTGTGATGCATGCGACAAATATATTTTAAAAAACATTTTCCTAATATGTCTCATTTGTTATTTTACCCCTGAAAGGCTGACATTGTAGAAGCTTTGGAAATGGTGTGCGCTTACCTTCCACAGGAGTTCCAGGAAGAGTGTCGCGAATACATCGAATTGATTCCAGAGGTTATGACTACCATTGCAGACACCTATTTCGTAAGTTTAAAAAACGCATTCACAATATTATTTAATTTTTAGGCTTTGTTCACACTGGTTCACACTGCACGCAAAAAAACTTAACGCAAACGTAGGCTGTGGTTGTTCCGGTACTTGTACTATACTGCCGTGTCATTGGGGAGATTTCGCAACCTTAAAAAAACGGTAACGAATACGAATACGTCATCATTATCGTCATTCTCGCCTTAAACATTCTTGACAATATGCTGTACTAGCTGAATAATTATGATCCTTGATTCATGCAAAAGGCATGCATTGCGTATACGTTGTCACAGATATGTTACTGCAAGGGAAGGCTTGTCAAAAAGTTGACGTAACCGTATTCGTTATCGTTTTCGTAAGCTTGCAAAAACTCCCTAATCAAACATTTTGCATGCTTTTACATTTCACTGATTATGATATATGATGATTATTAATTAAAGACAATATTATGATTTACAGTATATACAAATAGGAAATAATTATATTTTTTTATGTAGGTTTTGTTCTGGTGTGTAGCCTACTATGTAATTTTTAAATGTTAATTTTGTATTTGTGTGTTTAAGTTTGTATTTACTGTATGTTTTTATGTTAATTTTTTTCACTGAGATGTTATGTAGATTTCTTTTCGCTTTTGTAATCATCACTTGCCGTTTTCATGTTTCAAAGCTGTTCATGGGCTTATGCCCGGTTAATTTCCAAATGCTATTTTTTTTTCTTTCTTCCTTTTGTTTTTTTGTTTTTTTGCTGAAAAATAAATTTGATTTCTTTTACTTAAACCTACAAAGTTACGGTATAAAATAATAAAATAATATGCATATATATCTTGATTTTAAAATAAAATGCCCACTGAAGCAACGCTAGCTAATCAATAACAATTCGCGATAGTATTTAAGTATTATGATAATTGTATTTTAACAGATGCCTGACGAAGATTGCGAAGCCGTCGGTCTGTGCCCAGGTGAAGTCGAGGTTATTGTTCCCGAGATCCCTGACATGCCTGAGTTGCCTGAGTCACCTGAGGTAGAACTACCAGTAGCAGTCCAAAATATCTTCCCCGGATTCGACAGTATCTTGAAGCCCAACAAACACAAAAAAAAGTTGTCACAAAAAACACGCTTGATTAAGAAGCCAAAACGGTTCTTGAGGGCAATTCCCAAAATGAAAGGTAAAGATCTCCCCATATGTTACTTATTGGTGGTTTACCTTAATGTCATTGCCTCAAACCAATCTTAATGATGGAGAACTGTTAGTAAAATTATAGTCCGTTTGAGCAAGGTGGTTAAGAATACATCTTTGTTTTGAGAGTATTTTTTTTTCTATAGGCCGTATCGTGTATTCTGACTTCAATCCGTTGCTTGGAGAAAGTTCTTCTTAGGCGCCTCGAAATTTAACAAATACGTACACAGACCTGCATGAATGCTAATTAAAAATTTCAGAAGTATTTCCAATCACAGTAACTTGTTTCTGAATCAGATTTCCTTACGTATTTCTATAGTATGCTACTTTAATGTCCATTTGAATTCTATTTCTTTATATTTGAAATATTATTACACTCTCAGTATAAGTTTTTTCGATTAAAAAGTAACGTCCCATAATATGAATGTACAATTGTGTATCCAACAGTTAAAAATAAGACAAAGAAGCTAGAAAAACAACTACCAAATCTACCGATACCAAAGGTTACAAAATACGACAAAGTAGCGGCTGTGGAGGAAATAGACGCCGTCTTAATAACAGACACTGCTGTCACAAAATCTGCCAATGTAAGTACAATAAAACCCCTATTAAAGGGACGCCTTCTGGACCCAAAAATGTGTCCCCTTAATAGGGATGACCTCTAAAATTTGTTCATTTTTATTGGCCTAAGAATGAGTTAAAGTGGAATTAAGTACAGTACACTTCATTTATAATATGAAATTAAAGTAATGTAATTAAAACTACAATAGTTGAATTATTATCACAATATTATTTTATGATGCGATGTTAATGACCAAATATATATTTTTAACATTGAAATGTGTTTGACTTAGGCCATAGAGTTTCAAATTAAATTTGATTTTTTTTTTACAGGAGACGGTGGGGTGTAAATTGTGTGTTCACTTTGTAGAAACATTCGCTAAATTCATTAACAAATACAAGGTATGACGTAAACATTTTATTGAATACAATACAATACACAACCTAGTTAAAGATTCGTAGCTTTCGCTTTATTACACCGTGTGTACCTTTTGCATAATTATAATGGCCTTAACGATATTTTACGAGGTTTGATAGTTTCCTGAAAAGGTAAGCTTAGTTAAAATATAGGCTACCAGATCCGTATTCACTACCACGAACAGGCCATAGGTGGAAAAGAAAATGCTTATCATTCACGCTCCAAAAGGTTGGCTACCTGAAATGAAACCGAATGATCATGATGATGATAATGATGAGTAAATATTTATAACCACTTATTTTTCTTTGTTATGATAATATTATTATGATTTGCTTTGAAGGCTCAGGTGGCCGACGCTATAATTGAAAATGTGACCACATTCTGCGATCGTCTGCCACCCCCATACTCGACCAAGGTAAGAACTCTTGTGTTGATTGATAGTTCAAGATTTTGTATGATCGTCATTAAACTCACTCTAGATTTGAGAAAATAAAACTATTACGAATGGGCGAAGGTTGGAGGTCCCGGATCAATATGTTATAAGTTACTAACCATATTATATTGTATTAACTGTGTTAATATTACAAGAAAACTTTTCCTCACCATTTAAAGGAGTTTAGAATAATAATTTCCATAATTTATATATATATA